TATTCCTATTCATCATGACTGGTGAAACAGACCTACAATTGTGAAGACAATCTCAGTCATGCCTCCCAAGACACTTTTCTTAATCACCAAAATGTGGCAACCTTAATTGAATCCTCTTCTAGCATCTCCAAACTCTCTATAACAAAGACTTCAAAGCTCCCTGATCTACCTGTATTATTAACTCTCCTTTTCTGATGCTCTATTGGGGCCATTCAGCTCAGAGAGACATTAAATATAGGGGGAAATGAAGAAGAGTAGTAAAGAAAATCTATTTTAATTAAAAATGAGACCAAAGAGTTGGAGGAGTTAGTCAAAAATCATAAACAAAAAATGTCCACTGGTGATGGGCTGGAAGAGGCTATATATACAAAACTTTCTAGATCCCACACTTTTATTGAATAAATGTTTAGATCAAGGTTTCTATTGGTGCCCTAAAACAATGAGGATTTTCAGAGGTATTGCCATTCATTTCCAATGGAGTGGGAATGAGACAAGTTATAGCCTTAGACTGGATACCATTTTATTTCCATAAGAATGTACAAAAAACTCATGATATACATCAAGTGAAAAATGCTTATCACGGGTTGCACACAATAAATGGATGGCCTTCTGTTCTTTGAAGCAGCTGCCACTGTGGTTTCTGTATGCCAAACTGGTCACATCCAGCACACAAATGTTAAGTTCCCAGCATTCTCTGCACTTCTCACAAAAGGGATCTGAGCTGTCTACTTCATAATAAATAAAGCTAATGCCACTTACAGTGTTCACTTCATAGGATATAAAGCAAAACAGGCACAGTCACAAAAATGTGAGCAATAACTTTTTAGCTGGTTGACAAAATTAGTCACTAAAATAAGCTAAAGCCAAATCCCATCATTCATATCAATTCCATTTAACTTTTCCAAGAGACTCCTAGTTTTGAGGCAACTGGAGCCTTGGATAGTCAGTTCACAGCCAAGAGCAGCTTGGAAAGCAAATTAGGCTTTATGGTAATGATACTCCACACATCAGCATTATACTTATGAAAGCTAGTAACTTAGGATAGACACACTTAATACATGTCATTGATCTTTTCATTTGTATGCAATTATTTACTAATAATACTAATAACACAGTGCACCAAAATGCAATGCTATCTACACCAGAAGATTCTTACCCTAATGAAAACAATAAACAAAAAAGGTGTAATAAAATAATGTATAAACCTATATTTATTAACTACTTGATTTAATAATAAAACACCATGTGCAAGAAACCTTGTTTCCATTTGCTATATAAATAGGTCTTTTACTGTTTTCAGATGCAGTTCTCAGAAAATTCTTTTAAGCCCAAATGTAGAACACATCAGTCTATTTTTGGTTGCTTAAAATGTTAATAAATTCTGTAACACTGATATTTTTATACAAGCAAATTATTTGTTTAAAAAGCATGCTAGCCCTGGCCAGTTTGGCTCAGCGGTTGAGCATCGGCCTGTGCACCAGAGAATCCCGGTTTCGGTTCCCGCTAGGGGCATGTACCACAAAGAAAAAAAAAAAAGCATGCTTCAGTTGATAATTTGACGTTTTGCAATAAAGTTGGTTAGACTTCTAGTACCCTTACTGTTGATAAAGAAATTCTAAGAAGCAGGTAAAAGTTTCAATGACAGGCTATAATTAAAATCTACCCAGTATATGCACAAGTATAGAAACATAAACAAACATGAGGGTGTACATATGCACATTTCATTTCAATAACAGTTTATTATCTACCAGTTCACAAATATAATCATATCTGCTTATTTGTATACTGTAGAATACTATGTCCTTGTCACTCATTCCCCACTCCCCACAAATGCATTTCACTAACACACATGTCAGCCTCCTGTCACTAGAGCCAGGGTAAGAGTTGGGGATGCTCCAATAAATCTTGTGATTACTCTATGGACAAGCCTTTTTAGTGATAAAGTAATGCTACCACTCATCAAAGTTGGCTACTTTGAGTAGGGACCCAGAACCTAATGCCTGTAACTCTTGGCACCAGGGACTGGGGCTGAATTCTAATACTAAGTACTTTTGAAAAGTGCATCAAGATATAATAGGGTGAATTTCCAGACTTGATTAGAGTTTTAGCCACATAAATTCCACTAGGTTCAAAGCTCCCTAATGCTCCACCCTATCTATACTTATGCTCACATTTTGATATACATCTTTCTGAGTTCTTTGTTAGGCTATCTAACCTCTCACTTCTTTCCTCTTATTTTTGGTTTTCAGATTACACTTGGAGTCCATTTATTCTGACTTTAGGGCACTAAGGTTCCCTCTACCTCTCTTTTAAATCCTTCCTTGAGACATATATTTAAAAATAAGTACTTGCTCCCCTGATCTTTTATGATGACTTTATTGCCCCTGGCTTGTTTTCATACAAGGCTCTACCAAAGTCTATGTGCACCATTCATCACTGAAGGATGCGTGTAATGCACATAAACTGCTTCTTGGATTATCATCTCCAGAGATGATGACAGCTCAGTCTCTCTATGGAAATGTAACTTTCAATGGTGTGTCAAAGCATTGAGCAAAAACATTAAGTCATTTTTTAATCTGGGTCAGCCATGCTGCAAATGTATAAGAGAGAGAATTACAACAGAGTGGATCTCACTGAAACTGTGATCTTCCACTCCACTGATGAGGTATGGACACAGGCTGACAGACCTCTTGATGGGCTAGTGCTATTTGAAGAACGGTCCTGAATGATGCCACTGCCTTATAAGGAGGGAACAGCACCAGATACTAGGTCAATAAGGGTAAGAACAGGGACAAAAATGACATCCCAGCCACCCATTATACTCCTCTTTCAAAGCAAGTTTCTTTTTGGTTTATGTGTTACAATTCTATGTTAAGTCATCCAGTGGAAATTGGGATTTGGGTTTCTAAGTGACTGTGAAGAAGCAGAGTAGAATAACACAAAAGAATACAGAGTACAGTTAACTAAATACAATTTAGGATGGATTTTCTAGAAATTGTTTACCTTTGTTCGTGTTATTTGATTAACATTATATCTTAGAAAATGTAGTGAAGTAACCATTTTTGAAATTCATTTATTCAACAAGTATTTATTGGATATCTACTATGTGCCAGTCATTTGTTAGGCCCTTAGGATACAGAGAAGAATGAGACATCCCTTGCTGTCAAGGAGCTCACAATCTAGTACCAAAGACAGGCATATAAACAAGTAGCTACAACATAATTTTTTAAAAAGTGCTCATTTAGGTGTATACAAGGTGACAGAGAAGCCCAGTAGAAGCAGTGTTTAATTAAGCCTGGTGAAATCAAGGAATCTTTCACAGAGAAAGTGATAACTGAGTAGATTATATGGAGAAACAGGACTTCATCAAGAAGAAAAGAGAGGGTAGGGAAAGACATTGCATGCTGAAGGGACAGTAGGCACAAAAACAAGGAAGCATGATAAAGCATGATATGACAGGGAACCACATGTAATTCCATATGGCTGGAATTTCATCTGTCTATGAAGTGGTTAAATATGAAGTCAGAAAGGGAATATGCAACCAGAGAGTGAAGAGCTTTGTATGTAGGATTAAGAAATCTGTACTTTCTCCTGAAAGCACAAAGAAGACATTGAAGAATCCAAAACTAGGAGTGACATGCCCAGATCTGCCTGCTATCAGCCTGTATGGAGGATGGTTTGGAAGAGAGGTAAGACCCAGTAGGAGAGGCTATCACAGCAGTTCAGGTGAGAGAGATCCTCATGGGCACTTCGAAGGCAGTAAGGGTGAAGAGGTGACAGATTGGGGTGATACTTAGGAGGAAACTTGACAAGACTTGATGAATTATGGATACAAAAATCAAAACTTCCTCAGACACAAAACAATATTAAAAACATGCATTCAGATAATACAACCAACAGCCCCAGTCTTCCCTTCCTTTGTATTCCAATCATCCTATGATATCACCATCTGCTGAGTACAAATAAAGAAAGAAAAGCCAGAGGACACATATGGTCAGAGTTCTCTAACTCAGACACCACTAAATTGGAATCTGCAATAATACAGACTCTCTGTGATTCCTATTAGGAATTTCAACCTACTTTCTTCCTCTCTGTCGTTTCAAGCTTTAAGTTACCAGTAGCAGGAATCTAATCTAAAAGCAGCAGCTTCTTCCAATCAAGCGCTTGAAGTATAGCAGGCAGCAGCTTACATGGTGGTATCTGAAGGACATCCAATACATATCCCCTACCCAGGGGCCACAAGGTCTGAGATCCAATCATTAGCAACCCATTCCTTTAGGAGAGGCTTTTGTCCTTCTGGACTTCTCTTTTACAAGGCAACAACTCCTGAGATGAATAGGGCATTTAGTCGCTCTAATCCCTCTGGAATCATGGATAAGCATAATACCTTTGGCTTTCATAAAAGGGCCCAAAGTAGTGATGCAAAAAGGACCTTTAAGGGAAATAGAAGATAGCATAAGATCTTACCAAGGAATAGGCCTGCAAGCACTCAAGAAGCTAAGACTCTTAAATAATGCCTTCCCCTCCAGGTTCCAGCTAATCACACTTGTACATTCTGTGCTTTAAGGAACTTCTGTGTTTTATGTTTATGATATGCTATTAGCTAGTCAAGGCCTATGGTGACTCACAATCTTTTCTTGGGCCTCATACTATTTATGACAACTTCATATCTGCAGTTTTATTAAATTTGTACACATATTGCAAATATATTATCTGAAACTGCTTTATAACTCCAACCATTCATTCAATCAGACTGACCTTGTCTTTTATCATTTCAAATTATTGACATTTAACTGTATTTTCTGAGTGTTAATCAGTTAAGTCACAAGTGGCAGAAGATCAAGACAGACTCTGACCTTGAAGAGTCTCATTTATAACTCAAGAAGGTAAATAAGAGCTGCTTATGGATACTTGATTATGGAGGTTATATCAGTGAAATGAAAGAAAAAGAAAGAAAAGGAACAAAACAAATCTTTAAAATTACTTTTAAAATTACTTACTTCACTTGTTTGGAGAATCGTGAACTTTGGCAGTTTAATCTTTGAACTGGCTGTACTGGGTTTGCCATCCAAGAGAGATCCAAATGACAGATTCCCAAAGCTGTTCTCAAATTCAATTGAAGGTTTCAGTGTTGAAGATATTTCCGGTGCCTGGTCCTGGCCATCCATAGGCCTGACATATGCAGTTGGTTTTTGTTGCCCCATGCTTGCTTTGCAATAAAGCCCTGATGGGAAGTTTTGACTGGAAAGGCCACTGTTGGGAGCCAATAAAGAGGAGGCAAGTAGGGGAGACCCGGGCACTTGCATTATAAATTCAGATGCTTCTGGTGAGTTGAACTGAAAAATTTCTCTGAATGTATCAACTCCACTGGACTTTAGATAACTGTCTTCCTTTGCTGATGGGTTTGATTCTTCAAGTGCTCCAACTTGAGGTTTTTCAGCTGGATAAACAAAGTTTTCTAGTCTAGTTTTGGGCTGATCTTGTATAGATGGCAGCATCTTGTGTGGCTGACTACTGGCCAGGCTGGCTGGTACAATGTTAGTGTTATAACCATCTTGTGGCCAGTCAGGTTTTGATTTCCTGTTGCTGTGTATTAAAGTTGAATTCAGTATCACAACAGAAGGTGGAGGCATGGGTGCCAAGGGGTGAGTGTTATCCTGGTGAGGTGGGATCATTCGGTTCTTTTGTTCTGGGAAAAAGTTTGGTTCATTTTTGTTGGTGGGAGTCTGGGGCATGGAATTTTTTGAGATTCCCACTAGATGATTCTGATTAGAATGGTTAGTTAGCAAATCCTTTATTTCATCATAATTTCCCAGCGTGTTCTTGATTCTGTTGGCAAGTGCATCACCTTTGTTGGTCTAAAATAACAAAAAGATGGGGGTGGGAGGAGACAGAATGAATAGGTTTGTGTTTCCTAATGTTAATCTTTCAAACAGATGTTCTAAGTAGAACAGCATATAAGGTTCACTAAAATTCTTATGCTGCTACTCATATTTTTCATGTGCTATGTAAGAAAAAAATCAATAATGCTATTGAAACAGTCTCTTGGAATGAGCTGTGAGACTAACATTTTTATACTCCCTGCCCTGTCCTTAAACATGCTAATTGGGACAAAGTTTTAAATTATATTGTTTATAAATTTTATTAGCAAAATAACTTACTTTAGGTTAGTTGAGCTGAACTGTTACATTCTACATTGTTATTAACAACTTCTGCTTCCTGATCATTGGAATTATAAAGGATTATTCAATTAATACTTGTTCTTGACATGTCATTCCTTTGCACTACATTATACCATGAAAAAGGCTTAGCCCATTGGATAAGGAAGTCAGTTCAACTATGCTGTCATAACTACCTTCAATTTAGAAAAGGCGAGGGATTTAACACCTAATTGAGCTAACTTATGACTAAAACAAACAATTCCATTTAATCAAAGATTTATAAATTACTGGTGTCTGCCTACATGTTCTGGAGACAACGGTGTTTACATACTGATGATTCATACTCATTTACCTTGAATAGGTGCAACTGTTTATAAGCAGTGACTCAGGCACTCCTGTGTCTTTTCAATGATTTAGAAAAATGTATTCAAGAATTTAAACTGTTGTTTGAGTAAATAAAAACACAGTCAGCTTTTCAAAGTGATGTTGGCAATTGAATCATTCTATGGGAAATCAATGCACCAGCTATACTATCCTCCTGTAGGATAGTAACTTTTTATTATTTTCTTTACCTGCTGAAGCTGTTATCAAAATAAGCAGTTGAATTTAGAAGGGTAAAGTACTTCTTTGCGCCTAGCCTGCACTATGCTGGCCCAAAATATTGCAAAGAAACCAGACTACTGGCACCCATGGAGGTATGAGGCAGCAGGGCCATTAGATGGATGGATGAGACACCCACCCTATATAGTATTTATGTCTCAGGAGTCATAGGCTTGCTCTTCATGCACAGGAAGTGGTGACAACCTCCATTGAAGATAGATGTTTAACATTTAAGTTTTCTCACATGCCCTTAATACAGCCCAGTATCTTGGTACACAGAGAGAATGTGCCTATACAACACTGGTATCTCAGTCTAAACCTAGGCTGTATGGTTCTCTATATGTGAAGATCAGAAAGTGTGAAAATGGATGGAGAGCTAAGTGCCAGAAATAGATGAAAGCACGGAGGGAAAGAAAATGTAAAAAGATAACATCAATCTCAGGAGAGAACCCTGGAAAACATCAACCTTTAAGAGACTGGGAGAGGAAGAGGAGCCAGGAAAAGATATCAAGAAGGAACAACCAGAGAAGGATTCAAACTGGAAAACTTAGCTTCATTATTAGCATGATCGTCAAAGAGCAGTTAGGAAAATATGATTTCAAAGATTAATGTAAAGTATGCTAAATATATACTAAGAGGGGTCTGTGGGGTTGGGGAATTTTAGAAAACAAATACATATATGCCAATTTAGGTTTCTTATGCTCAATAACATTTATATTGTATCACATGGAAACTTGGTGCTAAAAAGTATTGATTAAACAATTAGCATTTTATATAATCCTCAGCCAGCAATTGCTCCATTTTCAAAAATAGATTTGAAAGGCATATTGAATAGATAAAAATAGGTAGAAATCACTTTTATTCCCTAAAGGCCCTAGGTTTGTTAATTTTAATGGCAGACATTACTTTTCAGCTAAGGCAAGGATAAACTCTTTGTATACATCTGACTCCTCTTCAACATAATTACACAATGAACCATTTGGGCAGCAGCCAAAATCAGTCTCTCTGCTCAATCCCTAAGTTCAGACTGAACATATTTAATTGAACTGAGGCTCCCACAAGAATTTGATGCAAGGTATTGTTCTAGTCCCTCAAACTGTTTACCACTGTGGTCAAATAACTGCCTAATGAACACTAATATCTGGCTATCTTCAAGGATCTTACTCCACAAGGGGAAACAACACTTCAAATCCCATTTCAAATGCTTTCATTTTACATTGTCTTATTCACTGAGATAGGATATGTTTCTTTACACCAAGCAAAGATAAATCTATAACCTACGAGCTTTTCATTTTTGCCTTAGCTGCTGGGAACCTCAAAGCTTTATTTAATTTTCATTGAAATTTTACATGTCTTTCATTGAAAATTCATTGAACTTTCATTGAAACAGAGTTCTACGGAATCAGAACCTTGCCCTGTGATGTCACAAAGACCACCACGATACCTCAAATCCCTGAGAAGTAATTCACTCTCTCTAGGCCAACCACATCAGGAGTCAAGGATATCAAGGCCCACCCTGGCCAGTTTGGCTCAGTGGTTAGAGCGTCGGCCCCTGGACCAGAGAGACCTGGGTTCGTTTCCTGCTAAAGGCACGAACCTTGGTTATAGTTTGTCCTGGCCCTGGTTGGGGCCGTGTGGGTGGCAGCCACGTGATGTGTCTCTCTCACATTGATCTTTCTCTCTCTCTCTTCCTCCCTCTCTCCCTCCTGCTCTATCCGAAGATAATTTCAAAAAAAAGAAGAAAAAAAAAAAAAAACATCAAGGCCCATTTGCTCATAAGCAAGCTAATCACATTCTTGTTCCTATTCAGCAGTAAACAAAAGGAATAGGTTCATTTTTAGTTCAAAGGAGAGAACCTTGGTTAGGTTTGAATGTTTCTCCATTTATGTCTACTATTATAATGATCTGGATTTCTGATGCATGCTTAGATTTATTTTTACATCTTTAGGTTTTAAAATGTTTGAAATTAAGAAAAGTCCTAAGCTGGCCAATATCTAAAACTACTTATATGGATGAAATTATTGGAAAAGTCAAATTTCTCTAAATAATATAGAAAATCAACCCCCCTACTATGTAAAGTATACTATAATTATGATTTCATTTCCTGCACAAAAGTATGAGCTCTTAAAAGTCAGTGACCATAGTGCAGCTGGTGTGGCTCAGTTGTTGAGCATCGACCCCATGCACTAAGAAGTCGCTGGTTCAATTCCCGGTCAGGACACATGCCCAGGTTGTGGGCTCGATCCCCAGGGGGGTATGCAGGAGGCAGCCAATAGATGTTCATTCTCATTGATGTGTCTATCTCTGTCTCCTTCTCCTTTTCTCTCTTTCTAAAATCAATAAAGAGCCCTGGCTGGTTTGGCTCAGCAGTTAGAGCATCAGCCTAGAGAGTCCTAGGTTTGTTCCCATTAAGGTCATGTACCTCAGTTGCAGTTTTTCCTCAGCCCTGGTTGGGGTTGTGTGGTTGGCAGCCAGTCAATGTGTATCTCTCACATCGATGTTTCTCTCTCTCTCCGCCCCCCTCTTGCTCTATCTGAAGATAAATGCAAAAGTGTCTTCTGGTGAGGATGAAATGAATAAATAAATAAATAAAAATAAAATCAATGAAGAAAAAAATTAAAAACAAGAGTCAGTGACCACATTTTATTTACTTTTCTACCTTCAAGACTTAGCAACATGTGTTGTGCATATTAGGTACTCAATTTGTTGCTGAATTGAACAGAAAAAAATTAAAAGTCATACCTTGCCTATGTCAAAATAAAGGATTTGAAGTAAATGGTACATAAATAGAAAAGCAAAAGTGTTGCCCTGGCCGGTTTTGCTCAGCGGTTAGAGCATTGGCCTTCGGTCCAGAGAGACCTGGGTTCGGTTCCTGCTAAGCGCATGTACCTCGATTGCAGTTTGTCCCCGGCCCTGATTGGTCGTGCGGGTGGCAGCTGCTCGATGTGTCCCTTTCACATCGATGTTTCTCTCTCTCTCTTCCTCTCTCTCCACCCGCTCTGTCTGAACAAACAGCGTAAAAATGTCCTCGGGTGAGGATAAAAAAAAAAAGAAAAGCAAAAGTGAAGCTAAATTGGTTACTGTGATTGAACATTAAACTGAACTCCAAGCTTCTTGGAAGCTAAGGCAATAAGGAAAAGCTCCTAGTTTATAGAATTATCTTCATCTGATAGAAGGAAGCATACCCTAATTCATTAAATGAAACAAACGATTACCAGATATTAAAATATGAAAGGGTATTATCCTCATTGATTTGGTTATAAGAACCTTTGAACAATAAAACAATTTTTCAGTACAAATTTTACAGAAAATGCAAAGATGTCTTCATGTGGCTTTTTCTTATGATGACTAAAAAGCAAGAGCATTGTGTTAAAGTCTAACTCAAGGAAGGCATATTTGCATGTGGAGTTACAGGGCTAGGCTAATAACTCTAAGCATGGGGCTTTCTTGTATGCTACTAACATAGGAATGGTGCTGGGGTAGCCTGAAGGAATGGAAGGATATCAACTTCCTTAGACAAGCTTCCCCACAGAGGAATTATCTCAGTGGGACTTGTGACTGGAACTGCAGAGCAGACAGTTCAAGATTGAGTTCACTGGAGACACTTTCTGTGTTACTGGTTGATGGAAGATTCATATGCTTTGCATAACAGACATGCTGTGACTAAAAATAAGAATTACCATGGTCATTCTTAAGACACATAGTGTTAAACTGAAAACACTCATGAGATAGTGTTAGGCACTGAGAACACACAGAAACAAAATCTCAAAAGTCCATCATTCAACAACCTCTAATAATTAACAGTACAGTCCAAATGGCCAGAGTCAACTCTCTGCCTTTCCACCATTACAGGTAGGTAACTGTCAACCAGTTTTTGAATGTCTGAAGATGTCTATATGAGATTAACTGCCAAGCGGCTCCACAGCGCAGAGCCTGGACAGAGGCTAAAACAACTACAGCCACTCACTTTGGGCTTGGGCAGAGGGAGGGCAGACTGGACTGGAACTGTGTCGGGACACTCAGGATTTGGACGGCACTCAGAGCTTTTGCTGAGTGCAGCCACGCAGGACGGTGGCCACATTGCTCCTTGCCAGGGC